ACACACACACACACACACACACACTCTCTCTCTCGTTCTCACACACACACTCACACTCACACATATATATATATATTACACTGGTGGTCTCTTCAGCACACAGAGAAGGTGTTGGTGGTGATATTAACCTGTCCGTTGACGAGCTCCAGGCCGATGGCGTCCACCTTAGTGCTGCTGATTCCCAACAGAACCCCATCCGGCGCCGTGGAGCGGAAGTCCAGACTCACGGAGACGTCCGAGCCCACGTTATAGCCCTCTTTCACTGTGGAGAGAGCGAGACGTCAGCCTCTGTTCTGAGCACTCATCATTCATCATCAGTGTCAGACTCACTGAAAGCGGCGTATCCGCTGCCGCTGAAGAAGCTGCCGCTCTGAGCGCGTCTGAAGCAGGAGCCCGCGGCGTGAGACGACAGCGCAGCGCTCAGCTTCATCTGGACGCCGCTGAACATCACGTCCCGCAGACACGCCGCCAGACTGTGTGTCACCTGAAGAACCACAGGTTAGGATCAGCACAACGCCACATTTCTGACCCTGGGGGCGTATTACACAACGTTTCTTATCTTAGGTCTTAACCCAAGATATGGTACGTTAAATTAGGATTTTTCGCAAATTCGTATTACAGAAGCAAATCTTAAAAGTGATGCGTTACAATGTTGCGTTACTCCCTAAAAAAGTAACTAATTATGTTACTTAGTTACTTTTCATGGAAAGTAATGTTACTTTTGAGTTACTTTTTAAATCTGGGAAGTGCTTGCTTGTTTGTTTTTAATATAGAAAGTTATTTTACAAATGTAAAGCCCTTTCACAACAAAGTGAAGTGAATGCGTCTCAAGCTGAAGGAAATGTAATTTCACGTCTGTACAGTAGAGGGCGCCGCTCAAACTAATCTCAGGAAGAATATGACGCAGGAGAAGAAAGTTCAACACTATTCAGCAATAACTAAAATTAAACACAAATGTGTCATTTTTGATTATTAGTATGGTTGAAGTGGATCATCGAAGGTCAGCAGCAAAGACATCGGTTCATAAAATGGGATTATTATTACGTTTCCGATTCTCCTGGCGGTGTATGTGGCAGGAAGTCCGCCGAGGTACAACTTCCCCTCCACGTCTAGCGTGTGTCCTTTAGTGTGTGTGCGGTCCGAGTCGGTCCCGTCCACACTGACCATCACCGTCTTCTTACTGAACTCGGCCTTCACCTGCACAAACACAGCAGACATACTGTAAACAAATCTCACTCATTGTCACATATGTGAGCCTGGAGCACAAAAGCAGTCATAAGTAGCACAGGTATATTTGTAGCAATAGCCAACAATACATTGCGGTTCTGTAAATGCTTGGGTTAGGGTCAGTGACCTCGGTGTTTCTGTCTCTGAATAAAACTGAGGTGTCCTTTCCTCCATATTCTCACTATGTCAGACTATATGAGGCATAAACGCCTGATGGAGCAAATATCAAAAACATATTTTTGTCTAAATGTTCAATAAACGGTTCATATTATATCATGTGTCAGGGTTGAGAGGGTTAAAGCTGTCATGTGATCAGGACTCACGGTGTGCCAGAGGCCGTCGTTGATGGGCGTGGCCAGCGAGGCGTGGGCGGGGCCTCTCCCCAGGTCACATGACAGCAGCACACGCCCCCCCAGCACCTGCAGAACGGCGTAATCTTGCTGGTTTGCGTTGGCCATGTAGAAGAGCACGCCGCTGCCAGCGAACGTCCGAACCGACAGCTTCACCGCAAAACTGAGACGAGGAACAGACAATAAAATGTTAAATTAAGATCCACGAGTGAACTTCTTTCAGTTGTCAAAAATCTTGTATATGTCACTGTTTAAAACAGATATAGATGTTACATCACATACTAGGTATGAAATACTTAATTTTATAACATTTAATATTTTTAAATATTTAATTCTATATATTTCACCCCATTTCATTTTATAATATTTTTCATAATATTTTATTACAATTTATTGTGTGTATATATATATATATATATATAATTTTTTTTTCATGGTTTTAGTTTTACTTAACTATAATACCACTGAAACAAATGCAAACAAATATTTTATCCTATTTAATTTGATATTTTTTTTACTGATAAACTGTCTATAATTTTCTTTTCTTGAATTGTTTTTCTTTTTCTTTTTTTGCTCAGAATAATGTTTTTAATGGCAGGCAAAGGGGTTATATTTTATTTTTTATTGTTTTTTTTTAAATATTTTTAAATGTATTCATTACGTTTATTTAATTTAATTTAATTTTAAGTAACAATTTTTTTTATGGTTTTAGTTTTTTAATAACCCTAAATCAAAGACCAACGATTCTCATATAATTGTATAATATTTGTAATATTAATTTTATATTTTTTTATTGATAGGCTGTCTATATATATATATATATATATATATATATATATATATATATATCTTTTATAAGTTTTTCTAGTTTTGCTAAAGCAAGCCAAGGAGTTGTTTTGTTGTAGTATTACATTTTTATGAACAAAAATACTTAGTTTTCTTTCTCGTGTGATTGCATAAGTGACCAGAGGTTTACAAGTGCCAACAGTTTCCATTCGTTGTGTATTTAATGTTTATTTAGTTTCAGTTCCATCGTAAACACCATAATATGTCATACTGAATACAGAATATTAGTTTAAGGAAAGTTCCTTGAGTTAGGGTTAGGGTTAGGTTAATTTGGCTCACAGATGAACAGCAGCTGAAGTATTTAATCTGTGAATCCTGATTTGATGATGTAATGCACTGATTGAGATGCATGCAGTAGACTGTGATCAGGTTTACGGGGGATTTACCTGGTTCTGACGGTCTTGTTCTTGAAGCCCATGATCACGTGACTGTGTCGGGACAGTCCGAACTGCAGGGATTCTGGGATGGTTTCTGTGAGATCCGCCGCTGCACACTGAGGAAGTGACCATATAAGGGCATGAGACAGCTATGACATTCTTACGATGTTACAGTCGTGAGTAACACATGTTCTGCGTTCACAGAAACTCAGCGCTATCTGAAGAATGCCACACACCTGTCACAATGACAATGAAGGCTTAGATTTCAGTGCCTCAAATAAAGAGCTATTATACTCACCTAAAACCACAAACATGTTTATGCAACATTTCTAATTTTCTCGTGTGATCTCATTAAAATTAAAGTGAAACCAAAAAATACAGAAATATAAAAACTATAAGAGTATCTCGGTGATACTAAAATAACACTGGTCACAGGATTCTGTGGTTACTTAGTAACAGTGTAAAGTGTGATTGTTACAGCTGCATCGTCATCAGGGGCCTGCTTCATTAAACAAGCTTACCAGATAAGCCTGGCTTAGTTCAGTTAGTCTGGTAAGCTTGTTTTATGAAACAGGCCCTAGATGTGAGCAAAAGTGTTCTTTGATGAGTAAATAAAGCTGGATGACTTTATTAGGAAATAAAAAATACGATCAGAGACAGAATAAAGTCAAGAGAGCGAATCAAATCAAACCAGTGTTATTTTAGTATCACTGGGATACTATTATTAAGTACATAAAGTTAAACTAAATAAAAATGAGATGTTGTGCTGGCAACTAACTGAAAAAAAAAAGTTTAAAGTTTTTAGATTTTAGTTTAGTTTAATTTTTAAAAATTAATTTGAGTTGATTTTACTTCAAGTAACAAAAATGTTTATGGCTTTAGTTTTAGTGAACTATAAAAACCCAAGACAAAGAAATGCCTAATAATGAAAATATACTGACCGAGACTTCTCAAATGACTTTTACCATAGTTATAATTATCAATGAAATTATTTTCAGATTGATTTTTTCCAGCTGATGAACAATAAAAACATTGACAGCCATTTAGAATCCGTCCTGCTTTAAAGAGCTCGAGCATTTAAAGAGACAAATGAGAAAACGCTTATATACGCTGAAGCGCTTATAATAAACAGAATGTTATCATGCATTGATGTGGGCACTGAAAACAAAAGAAAAAAAGATGAACAAAAAAAATAAGGTGTCTTCGTGTTTTTTTCAGAGATGTATATAAATCCAAATCTAGCTGTTGTATAAATATTTATAAACGTGTTCGCTCCACTCGGGCGTCTGTAGGTGTGTGTGTGTGTGAGAGAGATAGAGAGTGTGTGTGTGTGTGAGTGTGCATGAGAGAGAGAGAGAGTGTGTGTGTGTG